TTTCCGGTCGGAAGCAGCGAGCGGTCGGAAATTAAGCGATAAGCGGTCGGAAAAAAGCGATAAAAGCGGGAGGTTGGGCGGAATGAGTACTGTATGACTTGGCCTTTTTTTATTCTATTTATGATTAGTTGAGGAGTACTCCCACTATATCTATCATCATTGGAATACAGTGATTTTCACTTATTAATAGTATATGTTTGTTTCTTGGGTTTCTTCATCTTGTAGTCATAATTTCTTCACCTTTGTAACCATGGTTTCCTTCCTTCTCATCATAGTATCCACATCTTTGTTCCTATAGTAACTGGTCATTTGTTGTAATGTTGCCATCTATCTATGTTTCTTCACTTTCACCTTTGTTACCAAGATTTTCTTCCTTCCCTTATCATAGTATCCACATCTTTGTTTCCATAGTAACTGCTCATTTGTTGTAATATTGCCATCTATCTATGTTTCTTCACTTTCACCTTTGTTACCAAGATTTTCTTCCTTCCCTTATCATAGTATCCACATCTTTGTTTCTATAGTAACTGGTCATTTGTTGTAATGTTGCCATCTATCTATGTTTCTTCACTTTCACCTTTGTTACCAAGATTTTCTTCCTTCCCTTATCATAGTATCCACATTTTTGTTTCTATAGTAACTGGTCATTTGATGTAATGTTGCCATCTATCTATGTTTCTTCACTTTCACCTTTGTTACCAAGATTTTCTTCCTTCCCTTATCATAGTATCCACATCTTTGTTTCCATAGTAACTGCTCATTTGTTGTATTATTGCCATCTATTTATGCTATGTATAATTTGTTTGTTTGCAGGCTTTACAGCATTGCTCCACCTTAAAAGAGTTCATTGACCTATATAACAGCATGCTAAAGAGAATAATGAAAAGACATCGAGTTAAAAAACCTAAGATAAGGTTAAATATGTATGAGATGGAAGAATTTATGGACAGGAAGAGAAGTAAGTGTCTAAACTGTTCAATCTAAGAAATCTGTAAATACAATGTATATACTACTGCCTTGAGCTGAGATTATTGCAAATTTGTTTCTATTCTTTTATTCAATATTCATGTAATACTGATCCAAATTTCAGTAATTGCAGAGTATAATGACAGCACAGGTGGCCAGTTATTATGCCTATGTCTAATAATAGCTGCTGAAGTCATTTTGATTACATTTTGTTTTCATTTTTTTCTTAAAAATCTGATTAAAATTCATTTTAATTTTTCCGGTCATTATATATATATAAATCTGACAAACAACAAGGAATACCCCAGAATAGGCATAAACAAAAATATGAATATAAATAAAATATGGAAATAAAAAAAAGAAAATTAAATAATGTATAACCTACGAGGAAACATGAATGTTACATGTGAGGACCAGAAACATGATTGTTACATGTGGACCTAATACTGACTATTTTTGATAATCTAATTTATATTCCAGTGTATGAAAGCAAATTTGACCAGTTAGCTTATCCCGGAGACGAGTTGGAAATCCATGAATTATCAACGTACTTTAGAGAATGTGGTTTGTACCCTGGTGAGAGAGAATATTTAGATTTCTTGAGATTGGTCATTAAAAGTAAGTAATTGCCATGACAACTGTTTGCAATAGAGGATTGCTAAACTTATTTATTCGTTTTATTGGCTTACCCTTTAAACTACTTTAGGTGAAGATTGTTGTGATAAAGAAAAGTGACATATGGTAGGTGGAGGTTCAAACTAAATGCAAAGTTTGTTCATATATGCAATAAATTATGGGAGATAATAAAAAAATGTTGTCACACCAGAGCTCACTTAATTAAAAGTTTTGAAAATATTAGGAATCATTTTGTACTCCATATGTAAAATATATTTTTGAAATGGCTATCACGGGAGTGATTTACATCTTGAATTTCATTTCCCTGGACATCTCTGATAATTAATCTATCCAATTGTTATCAAAAATTCATATAAGTTTGGACAAAAATTGATCGATCTAAACCTAGCGTTTAGATTTAATTGACTTTCAAGAACACAAGGTTTTTTTATTTTATTTTGTTGATTGTGTAGGAACATAGAACTATTGCTTATTGGTAAACATAGAAAATGTTCTATTCAATTAAAGCATCTTTATTTGTCAATCTCAAAATTTAACTATTATGTTTTAGACCCCCTGACTGTGGAAAGAGTAATAGTTATTGGGGCAATGCCAATTTTAGTTTGCTTAGGCATATATTGATCCCTTATTACTCCATAATGAACAAAATAGCAATTAAAAATTTAACTACTGTGGCTATTGAAAAATAGCCAGTTGTGAACTTTAAATCTCATTTATTAGAATTTCCTTAAGGAAAATGGATAAAGAACAAATAATGCTTTCTTTTTTCCAGGTTATACATTAAATTATCTTAGTCACTTTGTAAGTGTATATTGTCATAAAATACACCATTAAAATTAAACTTCAAAGGAAAACATAGTATACATGCAAAGTAAACAAAAAAAACTTATCTCAAGTGATTTTGGATTTGTTAAAAATGGGCCTCAATTTTTAAATGATATGACACTATATCTAAATTGGTAAAGTCAGATATATAAGGTTTATAACATTGTAATAAAATATTTTCACAAGCAACACTAATCAAAGATACCCATCACAAAGTGTCTGGTAACTACATTAATGATATTATGCCTTTTTTTTATTCCCATGTTTCCAGGTTTAACTTTGAGACCAGAGAATCCATGACATTTCATAATTGTTTCCTGAAAAATGTTAGTGGTTACCCTATTTTTGCCCTTTTCATTATTGTGATGGCATAAATTCATACTATTGAAAATATAAATGGAAATCTCCCAAATCAGTTTTTTGATGAACAACTGTAAATTAATAAAAATATGGATGCTGTGAATAACCTTCCATCAACCAACTTACATTGATTTCTGGTAGAGTAGTGGTTGTTGCATCAGACTTGTGATTGGTAGACCCAAGTTCAAGTTGTACCTTAGGCTGAACACCAAAAAGGGTTGACCCCCTACCCTGGGTGAGTGTATGTGCCACAGACACAACGGGAAGGTCAATTCCACTAGTCAAGATTCATTCACTAACAAATTCCACTTTGAGAGAATCTTGGTTAAAGTTTGCAGGTATGTGACTAAGGGAACTGATCATTACCACCCAGCCGGTTTCCTGTGAGTTTGACTCGGTTTACCGTACCGGCCGGTGCTTCACTGTACCGGCTGGACAATTACCGTACTGATAGGACCAATACCGACTATTTATCACCTTCGATTAATGAATGCATGGTAAACAAAGCCTGG